ACATCACATACTTGTCATGTCCCTCATTTGCTCACAGAAGATTGACAATTAATGATATTAGTGAATCGACAAGTTACGAATTGCAGCTTCTCTCCTTTATGATCTTTCAATTTTATAATCTGGTAGAGTAATCAAATGATTTGTGACTTGTCAAATTTACTCCTTAAAGTCTCACTTTGAAATTTATCTTAAAGTTTATTTTAAAATTTCGTACCAAAATTTTACTTTAGATTTTTACTTTAAGCTTTTGAGTTTCTAGAATTTTACGTACATATTACCTTTTATTGTCAAAGATTCTTGTGCAAGAAAATTTATTAACAGTGGAATATAATATTTGTATCTCGTGAAACTTCACTGATAATATTAGTTCAATTACATGCAACAGAGATATATTTCTTACCTTGTAAAGTACAGACATTCCAACATAGGCCAATAAGCTCTGGGCGGAATTGATGATCAATTGGAAGCTAAAAATCGTGGCCAGCGGTTTATTGCACGACCAGAACACTGCTGGATATCTCACAGAATACACTCCGAGAGCGATAGCGTAATTCAAATACTCCAGAGTAATAGGTCCGTATGATTCAGCTAACAGAGACGCAACAAGAACAATTATGAAATAAAAGATTTCCAAGGGTACACTCTACTTTGTTAATTATGAAAATTAAATTGGACGGAAGTACAAAACATTTAATTTAATATAAGGATTAAAATTAAATTAGAAAGATACAAGAGTTGAATTAGATAAATATAAAAATTGGCAAACACAGAGATTAGACAGTTACAAGAATTACTACGAAAATTTAGAGAGAAGAAGAACTCACCAGCTTGAAACTCAAGGTTCAGCTTCTCCGGATGATCCAAATCGGCCAAGCTGTTCATCGTCAACAACATACTTTGCGCAGTCATGTTCCCCACACCCTTACTGGGCCTGACGGTGGTCGGGGACCTCCCCACGTTCTTCGCTTTCAGCTTGCTCTTCGAATTGTTATTTCTAACGATCGACTTCGCGGCAACGAGTCTCCTCACCGTGTTTCCGTACTTCACCGAGTTGGACGTCGTCGAGGACAACGTCGACGTGAAAGTCGTCGTCGGTACACCCGCGTTTGCAGCTGTAACCCTAGCTGCTTCCGTCGACCTTGTTTGCTCTTTAATATCCCTTGTCGTCGTCGTCGTCGTCGTCGTCGTTGTCGTCATTGTTTCCGCGGTCGTTCCTGCCGAATTCCCGCTCGCAGGCGTTGCAATCGACGAAGCTGTCGGCGTTACTTTCGTCGAGTCGGGACCCCCATCGACGTTGGACGGCGTCTTCGTCGCGTTGTTCGCAATTTCGTGGGTCGTCGCCCACGTTGGGAAGATCCTCTCGGTCGGTAATGCAGTGCTACTGAAAATTCTCGCGTCCGGCGCGGGTAGATTGGTACTCGTCGACGCGTGAAACTGGCCGAGATTTTGCTTGCTGTTGCTCGTATTGTTGTACGATTTGAACTCCTTGGATTTGTTCATAACGTCGGTCAGTTCGAATCGCGTCGTGACAATGTCGCTGGCTATATTGTCAGGCTCCTCGTCCGGTGTCAGAGTGACGTACGGTTGGGGCGTTATGAAGCCCGTTAAGATGCTGAGATTCACATTTGGGTTCATGAAGCTCGACACGACCAGACGATCCCGGTGAGTCACCAGCCAATCGAGGTCCGTGCGCCATATTGTTTCTGGAAAATAGGAAACAACGGGTTATCGATTAAATAGGATTAATCGAGCCCCGGTATCTGCATTGCGCTCCATTTGGCAATCTCTCGCCGCGGCCGAGTCGCACAGCTCCGTTATAGTTCACGCGTCCGCTATGGACCTGTGCGTTGAATTTTCGCCAATTGTGGAATTACGACAATTAAAGGAGAGGAATTGGCAGATACGCGGCATTTAACAGTGGACAGAAGGAAGTTTACAATTAGATGTTTGGTTTGATATTCACTTCATTCACTGGAAGTTGAATTTTAGTTAATTTCAGTTGATTCTGGCTTTTGAATTTTTAATTAATTGTGAAATGCACAAAACTCGAAAGCCGTGAATTTAGACGGAACGTCGCAATAATAGCTATAGTGTACGTTTCTAAGGGTTATTTAATTTTTTATTCCAGTTAGAAAGAATATGAAATGAAAATGAATATCTCGATTCTTAAATGCACACTTTCTGTGTTCATTAATTCTAAATCTGTGATTTTAAGAACCATTGTGAATAATAACAGAAATATAGTTATCTGTGATAATTATAAAAAATAAACTCCGTAAGCGGAGAGATGGAGAATGTTATTTTGCAGCTTTCTTCGAGACATAAAATGTTAGAGAATGCTTATATTTTTTGTATATAATATATTGCACATATTCTGTGCTACATTATGTAATAATAATATTAGATCGGTAATTGATTTAATTTAATTAAATTAATCATTTACTGTAATTATCGAGATTAATATTAAATTATTATTACATATTTGCTCGAACGAATTATTAACCAATAACGAATACATAGTATATTTTTTCATCGTATTAGCGACAGTAATCTGTGTAATATAAAATATATCTTTCATTTCTCTTGTTAATTGTAATGTCCATTTTCTAAAAGTCGCGATGTATTTCCTTACATTTATACTCTTAAACTTCCTTCTGTACACCGCTGTACGTTTCTCGAAATAGTACCTTTGCCATGAAATACGATAGGGTGAGGATGTTTATGCATACATGGCGAAGTTAAAAATAGGGAAAATATACAGGATAGAAAGGCTAAGAGTGAAACTGAGAAAGGTGTATTTATTATGTAACTCTCCTGTGATCTTCATATCGTAGACTTGCGAAGAAAATGATCGAGCTCGAGAAAGTATGTTTTTCAAACAATAGTAATGATTAACTAAATGATTGAAGAAACTACAGAATTCGAAATAGTGATAGTATCTAATCAGAATCAGAATTAAAAATCTCACGAGTAATTTTTCTTACACGAATACATCTAGCCGTGAAAACCGCTACAGAAACGTAAAATTTACTTATTGTAATTGCAAACTGTTTGTTTAAAAAACAAGGCTTGCGATAATTTCAAAAAACTGGCAATCCTCATTAATCCGGAAAATAACGAAATTTGCGTAACGAAGTTGGAACAAAATGGGCGAGATCACGCGGAAATGATTTTTAATTAAACGCGCAACGGATGTGCGTTGAACACAAACTTCACATGTTGAAGGAACAAACATTTCGTACGTGCGAGTCTAACGAAGCACGAAACAAATCCACGTTGTTCCTCCAATTACATTCGTACAAACACGGATTTGCATACGTATCGGCGATCTAATAATAACACCGCTCCGTTAATAATTAAGGAACATTCGTGTTCTTGATCGCGGATCGCGTGAATAGGTCGCTCGCACCTGGCGAGGTTGGGGAAAAAATTCCAGCGAGGAAAGAAGAATTCGAATCTCGTCCCTGGCCGATCTGATCGTCGTCCTTTTTTCACCGACGACGACGGAGGGGGGAGAGAAAAAAGAGGGGAGGGGCAGAGGTTCGACTCGTGGCGAACAAAAATTGGCAGTTCTTTTGTTCCCCTTTCGCTCGCGTTTTCTTGGTTAAGTGGCTCAAGGTGGAAGGATTCGAGGAACGAGAAATCCTGTAGCTAGCTGCACACACCTGGCCGATCAATACACGAACCAGAACGTAGTCAGGACGAAGTTGCCCCGTTACATTCCCAAACGCCCCATTCTCCATGCGCGAATCGTTTTGCCCTGTAACGATAGCGATCTGAATCTGAAAACGCGGCCCCCGTTTCGATCGTCATGTACGATCGATCGATCGAAATTTTTTCCGTCGCCAATACAGTGGCGAACATTACGAGCGGTGGGGGAGGATGAGTCGCTGAATGTCAAAAAAAATAATTTCATGGACCGGATAAGGACGAAATGAAGGTGAAACGGCGAGGGTGAGTTTCGGTCGAGAAGATCGGAAAGTTGATAAGTTGCAGATAAAGTGTGTCGACGTTTTATGAGTAGACGGAAGATTGGATAGTTTGTTTAGAAATTAAGTTCCGCTTAGTTTCGAGGATTGAAGAATAGCTTTGGGAAAGTTAAAAGGTTGTGTATGTGTACGAGTGGATAGAAGATTGGCTGGTCTGTTTAGAAATCAAAATTTTGAATATTTCGTTCGTTTCGAGAATCGAAGAATAGTTCTAGAAGGAGAGAGAGAGAGAGAGAGATTGCGAAAGCAAGGAATTGCAGAC